GCCACAACAGCCAAAGAATGTCTGTTCTGGAGCCAGGAGCCAGGAGCTTCTTCTAGGTCTACCCCTTTGGTGCAAGGGCCCAAGGGCTTGGGCCATTTTCTACTGCTTTTGCAGGCCATAGCTAAGAGCTGGATCAGAATTGGAGCAGCCAGGACTTGAACCAGCACCCATATGGGATGCCAGTGCTGCAGGTGGTGGCTTCACCTGCTATGCCACAGTGCCAGCCCCACTCATTTTGGTTTTGATTTACATTTTCCTGATGGCTAGTGGTTTTGAGCATTTTTTCATTTGTCTGTTGGCCACTTGGATTTCCTTTTTTGAAAAATTCCTATTCAATTCCTTTGCCCATTTCTTAACTGGATTGTTTGTTTTTTGTTGTTGAGTTTCTTGAGCTCTTTATATTTTCTGGGTATTCAGCCTTTGTCAGTTGCATAGTTTGCAAATAATTTCTCCCATTCTGTTGGTTGCTTCTTCACTTTGCTGAGTGCTTCTTTTGCAGTGCAGAAGCTTCTCAATTTAATCTAATCCTATTTGTTAATTTTGGTTCTGATTCCCTGTGCTTCTGTGATCTTTTCCAAGAACTCTTTTCCTATACCAGTGTCTTGTAGGGTTTCCCCAATGTGCTCTAATAATTTAATGGCATTGGGTCATAGATTTAGGTCTTTAATCCATTTTGAGTGGATTTTTGTGTAAGGTGTAATGTAGGGGTCTTGCTTGATACTTCTGAATGAAGAGATCCAGTTTTCCCAGTGTCATTTGTTGAAGAGACTGTCTTTGTTCCAGGGATTGGTTTTAGCTCTTTTGTCAAATATAAGTAGATCTTTATGGATGCATGGATTGGTTTCTGGGGTTTCTATTCTGTTTCATTTCTCTATCCATCTGTTTTTGTACCAGTACCAAGCTGTTTTGATTATAACTGCCCTGTAGTATATCTTGAAATCTGGTATTGTGATGCCTCTGGCTTTGTTTTTGTTGTATAAAGTTGCCTTAGGTATTTGGCATCCCTTGTGTTTCCATATGAATTTCAGCAACATTTTTTTCTATGTCTGAAAAGAATGTCCTTGGTATTTTGATTGGCATTACATTGAATCTGTAAATTGCTTGGTAGTATGGACATTTTGATAATATTGGTTCTTCTTCTTCTTCTTTTTTTTTGACAGGCAGAGTGGACAGTGAGAGCGAGAGAGACAGAGAGAAATGTCTTCCTTTGCCATTGGTTCACCCTCCAATGGCCGCCGCAGCCGGTGCACCATGCTGATCCGAAGGCAGGAGCCAGGTGCTTCTCCTGGTCTCCCATGGGGTGTAAGGCCCAAGCACTTGGGCCATCCTCCACTGCACTCCTGGGCCACAGCAGAGAGCTGGCCTGGAAGAGGGGCAACCGGGACAGAATCCGGCGCCCCAACTGGGACTAGAACCAGGTGTGCCGGTGCTGTAGGCGGAGGATTAGCCTATTGAGCTGCGGCACCAGCCAATATTGGCTCTTCTAATCCACAGAATGTACTTCTTACTGGTTGAGAGGTTCAATGATTTGTCTATGTATATACAGTGAGTTGGAGGTTTGTAGTGAGAGCTCGCCAAAAGCTATATTTTTTTAAGGATTTATTTATTTATTTGAAAGTAAGAGTTATACAGAGAGAGAGAGAGAGAGAGAGAGAGAGAGAGAGGTCTTCCATCCACTGGTTCTCTCCCCAATTGGCTACAAAGGCTGGAGCTGAGCCAATCCGAAGCAGGAACCAGGAGCTTCTTCTGGGTCTCCCACATGGGCACAGGGGCCCAAAGGCTTGGCCCATCTTTTACTGCTTCTACTATTTTCCCAGAGAGCTGGATCAGAAGTGGAACAGCTGCTTGAACCAGCATCCATATGGGATGCTGGCACTGCAGGCGGAGGATTTACCTGCTACGCCACAGCACTGGCCCCCAAAAAGCTACATTCTTAGAGAGCACCACCCTAATATTTCCCAGGTTTCTGATCATGATGTTAAGCCCTTAGAGCATCTTGTAGCCATTTGTATTCTCCTTTCTTGTAACCTGCAGTTTCATCCTGAGTATTCTTGCTCTCTATTCTTGTCTCCCTGACTTTACCTCATCTTTCCTAATGTAAAGCTGCAAATCCAAACCCCCAAAGTTACAAAGAACTTTGAAGGGTGAGAAGATGGAAATTGTTATTACAGTTTCTTCTCTATAGCCTCATGTACTTTGGAGTACACGGTGTCCTCCCTGGATCTGGCTCTAAAGTGATGGCTTTAGATGAGAAAAAGGGGGTAGCCTCAGCCTGAACAAAGCAGTCCAGTGTCCTGGGAATTAGTTTGTCTCACCAGTAACCTCCTAGGAGGTAACTCTACTCCTTCTAGAACTGCTACTCAGCCATTGATTCCATCAACTGACATTTATTAAGTTCTTAGCACCCAAACGCTGAAATATATGACAGTACTTAAAAAAACTTATGGAAAGTAGAATTAAAATATGAGTTTATTTTGATGCAAATTTTTTGAAATTCATAATTTTCTATAATATGCATTTCTATGTATTATATTTTTAATCAAAATACACATGCACTTTAATTCCATTTTCCATGAACTTTTTGAAATCCCCTCATAGTGATGAGTTAGTCCTTGATGATGACTTAAAGAACTAGTTTTCTAGTGAAGCAGACACCTTTGATTAATGCCAGGAGAGAGGATGGGGGTAGGCACAAGAGCTGGGGGTTGGGGAGGGATTGCACTATAGGCTGGTAAAACAATGCTATTTATTGAGAAGTTGTGGCAGACTTGGAAATGCACCATTCAGATCTGTCTTCCAAAGGGACGTTGAGGTAAGAAGTATAGTGACAGCCTCCAGCTACACCTTTGGGGTCAACTGCATTGCATACATTGAGGCCACGTTTTCTCCAGGCTTCCCCAGTAAATGACTGGGAACAATGGTAGAGTTAGAGATTGGACATTTATACCTTAACACAATTTCCTAGTGGATACTCTATTTTCGAACTCCTTATTTCCTGGCTTAGACCTTTACAGAGATATGCTACAGTCTAGTACTCCTTCCAACCAATCTACCTGTTTGCCCTCTCACTTTCCGTGCATGGAAGACCAGCATCATGGTTTGAAGGCTCTCTCTGATTACTCCTGGTCCCTCTCCTCTTTATCTATTGCAGGAATTTCTCCAATTATTACCTAAAGCTCAGTCTATGCCCCTGGTGCCAAATCAAAATAATGAGGACAAGGCTTTGGAGTGAAGGACAGAAAACATTTAATCTGTTGACAGATGAGAGGGCAGCAGACCTCTAGATCCCAAGGACTGTGCTCTGCTTGATGAGGGTGTTTTGGGGCTTACAAAGGAGCTTCATGGAAGAGGGTGCATTATGGTGAAATCATGAAAGAGCTACAGGTCTCTGGTGTCGGGCGCCAAGGTTTGTTTTATCATGGTGATGCTGGAGGTCCACAGCTGACCCAGCCTGACCAGGTGCTCCTGCTTTGCAAACGAAGTTTCCATAAGGAAAAAGGCAATTTGTGCCTTAGGATGTGGCTAAGTAGGAAGCCAGCAGTTCAGCCTGTAAACAACAGTTTCCCGGCTTTACATTTAAGTAATAAAAATTGTTTGCTATGTTGTCTTATGCATGGTTACACAACCAATCTCTTCTGCTTTTGCCTCCGTCCTCGTGTCTCCTAGGAAGATCTGAACTGATTCAGGAGTATTCATTAGGGAAGGCTTGATTTTCCTATAGTAATGCATTAATCTCAAATTCTCAATCACTTAATATGAAAAGGTTGATTTCTCCTATGCTCCATATCTAATGCAAGTTGTTAGTGGTGATGGTGGAGGAGGAAATTCTGTTCCTTACAGGTTCCCAAGCTGAGGGTCCTAGGTTTCTACCTGACTGCAAGGCTTGTCATCAAGATATATGGAGGAAGAGAAAACTTCTATTGCCAGGTCTGAAACTGACTTAAATGACCTCTACTTATGTCACATTGTCCAGAACTGTCACAGGGTTTAAGTGATAGTAGTTTGTGGAATACCGTCTCCTTGTATGCCCAGCATGAGGTGAAGTAGTGGGGAATAAGAATTGCCTTTTTCTTGAGAGGTCATCACATGCTAAGTCCTACATATTTGCTAAGCATTAAGCCATCCCTATAGGTAGTGCCAGAATTTGGAGTCGGCCATACTTTTTAGCCATAATACTATGGGAAACAGAAGGAATGAATAAATGCCAGGGCATTGTTGGTGGCTGACAGGTTTCTAAATATTGAATATGTATCCCTTGATTTCTCCAGAGCATGCTGGGCTACTGTGAATGGTCTGAGACACAGGAAACCTGACTGATGTTTATGCCGACTCCATTATACCAAGTGTCTTCCTTATGGGACGATGGCACCTGGGCAGCTCTTCTTCCTCCATCTCCCTTCATTCAGGGCCAGGAGGAGAAGTTGTGTTTGGTTTTCACTCCTTTAAGTAGTACAGACCAAGTGGCAAAAATAATGAGTTGAACAAGTTTAGTTTTTTTTTCTTCTTTTGATTGTATTTAATAGTCTTGAAGAGTGCTACAAAATAATGTGGTTGTTGAAAGAAATGCTTTTTGCCCAGTTTCTTTCTGGCCAAGGTTTTGAGAAAAGAAAACTATAAATAGCTGACGATAAAAGAAAATTGCTGCTGTGATCTGCAAAGAAAGAATGGGAAACACAAAAGGACCATTTTGAGAGGTTTTCAAATAAAAATTACGGTTCCCCTCCCAGGGCCCCAGATTGCTACTTCTTAGGAGATAGAAAGGATAAGGGTGTGATGGATGTTTCCCCTCTCTTGTTTGTTTACTAAGATGTTTTGACTTAGTTGCTTTTATTCCATTGAATGCAGAGCTCTTCAAAACTATTAAACATTCCAAATTATCAGAATTTTCTCAAAAAGTAGGTAATTCACAAATAGAGGTTTATGATGCATAAGGTAATCATCTAGTTCTTGTCATTTCCTGTCTAAATCTGCATCTCTCCCCTTGCTTTTACTGTCCTTACCTGCCCTCTGGAACAGATGTGTAGGGTGGGGAGAGGTGGAAACAGAGGTGCAAAGAGGAATCGGCACCAGTAGGATTGTTAGACGTAATGCCCTTTTGTTTATTTCTCTCCATCGACCATTTCCAGTTTCCTGCCAAAATGTTTGTTTGCCATTGATTAAACTTCACATTTTTATTACCTAGAATTAACTATAATGTTTATGAAAATGGAAGGTGGAAAGAGACAATTTCTCTGTGAGTTGTTCTATTTTCCTGTAACCAAAGGGCTTCCCTAAGCTGAAATCATCTCCCCTCCGTTTGGTATGCAGTTCTTGCCAACTAGAGGTAATTGGGCTACCAGTTAGATGTGCAGACACTGCTTTGAATATCACAGAGCTCTATTTACTGTGTGTTTTCTGTTTGATATAGAAGTTAGTTTCCAGAGGTTGACTTAAAATAGAAAGCCTGGAATACTGTGATCTTGGGATTCAATGAAGGTAAGAAGTTTTATGTTTTTAAAGACCCACTGATATGCATGCTTACTTATACTTATTTTTTTTAATTTAAAAGATTTATTTATCTGAAAAGGAGAATGAGAGAGAGAGAGAGAGAGATCTTAAATTTGCTGGTTCATTCCCCAAATGCCTGTAATGGCCAGCAATGGGTAGGTGCTGGGAACTGAACTTGAGTTTCCCATGTATATGGCAGGGACCCAAGCACTTGAGCTATCACCTACAACCTCCCAGGGTGCTCTTTAGCAGGAAGCTGAAATCAGAAATGGAGCTGGGACTTGAACCCAGGCACTCATGATATAGGAAGCAGGTGTCCCAAGCAATATCTTAACCCTTGCAGCCAATGCACATCTTATATTAAGTTACATTTATCTTCTGTGCTAGGGACTCTCCTTGTCTCTATCAATAGGCCACAGGGACTTATTGAAGGAATTCATGGGTTATGTAGAATTGTCCAGAGTAGCAAGTTGGGGGACAAGAAAGGAAAAGGAGTATATCTCCAAGATCAAAATAAGCCTGACAACTTGACATGGAGGGAAAAAAAAAGAAGTTGAAAGTGAGAGAGAATAAAGTCAGAGAGGAAACTTACCCAAGGGCATTTTAGACACAGATCTTGTGATATTAACATTTCCTCTATTTAAAGAAAAGTGAAATAAATTGCTTTTTTGTGACCCTGAAGGTCATTGGTCCTCCCTGCGGCATCTCACTGCAGAGAGAGAACAACAGAGGAAGAAATGAGATAGGTCAGGACTTGGGAGTGGAATCAGACATGTGCATGGCTTAGTGAGCCTGGACATTTGCAGCAAGCTCAGATTGAGTCAAACAAAGCAGTGTCTAGAATTTTGTTTAGCTGTTGCCTTTGAGTCCAGCTAGAATGCACAGTGGATCAGGAGGCAGGAGATAGGGATGTAACCTTAATTCTGTCCCTAATTTTATAACTTGTTATATAACATTGTTTGTGCCTCAGCATCTTTGTCTATAAAACTAACCACTTAAACTAGATGACCAATAGTCCCTAAGGTTTTAGCTAACTGTAAGGTAGATGCATATGTGATTAGACTTCCTATTATTTGTTTTTGGTCAAGAAGCTAATCAATGAATGCAATGTGTTGCTCAATTTTTTTCTGTGCGAGGCACAGTGTTGGGTGGTATAAGGAGATAAAAATCTGGCTCTTGCTTTATATCAACCCCCTACGTGACAGATCTGTGACTTTTAGAACCACTGTGTCCCCAGAGCCTAGTCCAGTGCCTGCCATGCAGTGGTTCTCCAGAGATGGCTGCCTGCTCATGGTGTATATTCTTTTGTTTCTAGTTTGAGGGAGAAGTCATTAACATGCCCAGTCTTGCAAGATTGACAAAACGGATACCCAATCATCAGGCACAGTGTCCTTGTCACAGAATCTCTGAGAAGGTGGTTCTTTTTGGTCAGAAATAATGTGAAAATTTTCCACAGAGAAGAGGAGATTGGTCTGGCTAAAAACAAGGTCAAGTCCTTTTCAATCCTGGAGGCAGAAATCAGTTTCAAAGCTTAGACAAAAGGACAGCACAAATCGTACTCTGCTTCTCACACCACAAGCATCACAGCGCAGGGCTTTGCAGTTCAGTTTATTATACAAAATGGGTCACAGTGAGCTTGAAAATAATAAGTCTAGGAATTGTTGACAGGAAGCAGCAAACATTTTCCACATTAGAGTATGGACAGGTGTACAGACAGCTTCTCTCAGGTGATGAATTGACTTACAGTTTTTCAATTGTACAAAAGCCATAGGCACCCGGCAGAAACTTTGAATTCTGCCTTTGATCTTCTCCTAGTCTGGTGATATGTGGTACCACACTCTGGTGATGCTGGGCAGCAGTAGTGAACTACTGCTCCCAGACAACCTGCAGGAGGGCAACAGCCAGTACTGTGCAGTGACTCATGTCACTAAGCTAGGATGTTTGGTAAGTCACATAATAAATGCATTTTCCAATTTATGATATTTTCAGCTTAATTAGTTTACTCCATCAGAAATCGAGAAATAGCTGTGTTTCTTAAGGGAGACTACATGATCACATGAGAGGGATTCACACACAGCTCCAGAAACTTATCTATGAAGTATATATCCAGCTGGGGTAATTTCCCACAATCCTATTTTCCCCTCTCATTCTCCTTTCTTCTTGGTTTGGATACTGCTCCAGTCCAAGCACTGGGTTAAATGTTGGAGAGAGAGAAATAGAAAGTTAGAGCTTAGGTCATTGGAAGACAGACTTGAAATAAGACATATTATGGTGTTCTGGTTGCTGCAGTACATGTGAATGAATGCTTGCCATAAAAGCCTGGAGCTCTGTGGAACTAAGAGCATCAGCCAATTAGGCAAGATACCTGGTACCAAACTTGTGCTAAGAGCAGTGGAGGAATGCAGAGCTGCAGCTGCCACGAGGCAGCCTTGGTGCCATCCCACCTCGCAGGACCAGGAAGGCAAACAAATCTGCACCTTGTTTACATGGAAAAGGAGAGACCATGCATTCTTTCTGTAAATGTACCCACATTAGTCTTCCTGTTTTGTTGTTCTAACAAATGACTACATAGTTAGTAGTTATCATAGAGTTCTGGGGGTTAGAAGTCCCCAAATCATATTGTCAGGAGGACTGCACACTTTCTGGAGGCTGTGGGTAGAATCCATCTCTTCGCCTTTTCTAGCTTCAAGAGGCTGTCTGCTCCACTTGACTTGTGGCTCCCTTCCTCTGTCATACAGCCCATGAGCATAGTACCTTCTAATCTCCTGTGATCTCAGACTCTCCTGGCTCCTTTTCTAACAACCCTTGTGACGACATGGGGTCCACTACATTACTACAGGATCATCTCCTCATGTTAAGAATCTTACTTCAATCACATGATCACATGGCAAAGTTCCTTTTGCCATGTAATGGAGTGTGTATTCGAGGGATTAGGGCTCGAATGTTATTGGCGGTCATCATTCAGCCTCTCACAGTACCCAGGTGTCTCCTGAGGGTGTGCCCTCTGTTCCTCTTTCTCCTCCCAGATCTCTCCACCACACTCTCTAGTCTGGTTTCCTCTGCAAGGTATGTGGAACGGGAGCAGGCGTACTGTTCCATGGATGCGTTCTGGATTCCACTTTCAGTGCGACCATGGGTAAGTTACCTAACTTTTCATAGTCCGAGTTTGCTCATCTGTAAGATAGAAACAACAGAAATTCTTATGCATAGAACTGTTGTAAAAAGTAAATGAGACTCCATGTATTTGTTTCTTAGGTCCTTTCATGCAGAATGTTTTCAGTTGATGTTGGCTGTTATTTTTATTGTTATAACTACTAGTAGGAAGCTGGGAAAGGATCTAGGTGGAGGAGTGGAAGGTCTCCAAAATCCTGAGTTGTACTCAGAGCTCAGCTTTGTCTCGATTTTGGTTTTGGGTGCATTATCAGCTTTTCCTTACTTAACTGAAATACCACGGGAGCATCTCAGTAGGGGAATTTGTTTCCACCTACAGTTGTGGAGGCTCACAATTCAAGACAGGGTAGCCCATTGGTTTAGACTCCTGGTGATGCTTGAGGATGGCACAGAGATTATCTCATGGTGAGGCAGGAAACAGTGAGAGAGAAAGAGGGAGAGAAGGAAACAAGAAGAGAGGGAGAGAGACAAAGAACGAGTAGGCTCAGCTTATATTACCAACCTCTGGAATGAACTACCTTGAGAATAAGTCTCCAGCGGCCTGAAGACCTCCTGCCCCCCAGGCCCACCTAGCAAATGTCACAAGTATATCAGATTTCCATCCTTAATCCATTAATTTCTCACAAAAGACTTTGGGATTTAAATGTCTGCATGATTTTGGGGGGTCAAATTGTGTTCAAGTCATAACAGCAGATTCTTGGTTTTTATGAAAACCAACTCCCCCAGGCTCACGGCTTTCCTCTATCCTAGCCCTAGGAAATCACCTGTTCAGACTGTTACCACCTCATCACATTATCTCAAGTTCAGCTTTGGGGGCCTAAAAACCAGAGGGTCACTTTAAGGCTTTTAGTATTGTGGTAATGTTAATGCTAGAAGCTCTTTGGAAGCACCATGCTCCATGATCTAAATTCATTTCTGATTTAGTCTGACTTTATGAGAAGATAGTCTCATTTAATTTATTCTCCCCAATGTGTGCTTACCTGGTAGGTCTTTCCATCTTTTTATAAATGTTGCTCATGAACCTAATATGATCTCTGAACAGTGAAACTTCAGGAGGTGTAACAAAGGGAGATGAATATAATCTGGAAACTTAGAAAAATTTGGGTAATACATTTAACTTGGTTATTAGGTGTATTTTTGCCTAAGGATATGGTCCCAGCAGTTGGTTGCTCTAAACTATTCTTGCTTTTTAGCTTCTTCAAGATTTCTCTATTTCAGTGTGGTCACAGTGGGTCCATAGCTGTGAGGAAATGGGAGGGAGGGGATATTTAGCAACTGGGGCTGGAGTGGTCGTGGGTGTCTGAAGGGATATTGTATACTCTGAGTTTTTAAATAAAGGGTTTGCCTGTACTGCAGTTTGCTCCCTGTTTATTTTCTTCTGCTTGAACAGGAGACATTTTAAACTGCTCAGTTATTAAATATCTGGTATCTCAGGATCACAGGAGCAGATATAAC